ATTTAGAAAAAGAAAGACATAAGAGACATATCAACCAAATTCAATGTGTGGAACATATTTGAATCCTCTTTCAAAGTAACTATTAAGGTCTTTATGAAACAGAGAAATATGAACCCTCACTGTGGGGTTTTGTTTTGAGTGTCTTTTTGTCTTAGAGATGTATATGAATTATGTATAAACAAAATGATTAATCTGCTGTTGGCTTTAAAATAGGTGGGAGAATGAGGTGGGAGGTACTAATGAAGCAAGACTGACCCCACGTCGATCATTGCTGAAGCTGACTGATGGGTATGTGTTTTGGTTTTTTTTGGAGGGGAAAGGTTTTCCCTATTTTATTCTTGACACATTCCATAATAAAAGGTTATACAAAAAGAAATAAACAAAACAAACTGGAGCCATTGAGTACAAATACCTCAAGGGGTTTCAACGTAAAGGGAAGCAAAGAAACAGGGTAGTGGGTGGCAGGGGAAATGGGTTTTTTAAGTTTCTCATTAAGACACTAGACACGTCGGTAAGTGCATGTATGTACCTTGTAGCTCGCAGATTTAATTCCATCAGGAACTTCATCCTGAAAAAGAAAAAAAAACGTTTTCAGATGACATTTATTCTATCTTCTGAAAAAATATTTTAAATTTTTATGATTTATGAGAAAAATGCATAAAACAAATTATTGAAGTTGGATTGTTTTTTAATAGAATAGCTAGGTAGTATTTTATACTATTTCTTAAAAGTAAATATTCAATGAATTATCTTATGAATTGGTGATCATATACATATAAGCACAGAAATATAAAAATAGTCACTTAGCCATTATTCCTTTTGATGTTCAAATTGTCCCATATTTGGCCACTAGAATATCCTCTAAGTGCTGACTTGATATTAATACCTGTGTCCTTTTGATATGACTCCAGTGGTCCTTAGTAGTATTTTTTGTTTTCTGTGATGACAAGATATTCCAGGTTCATCTTGTATATTTCTTCCTCCACTCTCAGAATCAACCATATTTTAAGGAGCCCTAGTTCTTTTCAGAGGAAAGTGGTACTGGTTTTCAGTTGTGTCGGCCACTCACTTCAACTACAGGAACTATCTGCCTGTCCTTGAAGTGATGCTCTGAGTAGATAATGACACATCAGAACTCTGTAAATTGTAGGACACTATTCCAATGCCAGGTATATTCCTGAAATAGATTATACCTGCCCAAAGGGAACAACCCACACAGATCATCACTTTATTGTATATCCTTGTAGACTTTGATCTAGGTCAATGTATATTCTTTTTTTGTGGCTAGACATTTAGATGGTTTCTAATTTTTTCATATAACAAACAATGCCAAATATGTACATTAATATCAGCAGAGTGGACATCTTTACAATATCCAGTACTGCTTTACAGACATCTTTGAACATTTATCCAATTATTTTATTAAGTGAAATCCCTAGTAGAACTGTTAAGTCAAAGGGTATGTACCTTTTTAAATTTTTTGATACATTTGCCAAATTGATCTCCAAAAAGAATACCACCAGAGTGCTCATTTCTTATTCCCAGACTAATAACGAGTATTGTTATTCTTTTTCACATTGGCCAATTAATAATGGAGGTAAAAGAACTTTGTTTTGATTAATTATAAAGGTAATAAATGCCTGGCCCTTTCAGTTTATAAAGAGATTCCAGCTTCTATAGGCAGACCATCTGCCTCATTCAAATCTTCTCTGGAATCAGGGTACAAATTGAGGGATATGGTTTTTTAAAGTGCCAAGTATGAAAAAGAGAACTTCAATCTTTATTATTTTTCTATCTCATGCTGGGTCACATGGTATCACCCGAATCGAATTTATAAATGAACTAAAGAAGGAAATCAAAGTGTTGAAAAAATGGTCTTTGTTCCTTGTTCAGCCCTAAAAGGCATTAACAAAACAGCAGCAGATCATCTGAGGTAGTGACTTAACTGTGCTAAACCTGGGACATATATTAGATTAAGAAAGAACTGTTCACTGTTTTAGATGTAACCATGGCACTGTGGTCATGAAGTAATGTCCTTTCTTTTAAATGCACACTAAAGTATTAATATATATTAATAATAGTGAGATGTCAAGACACTGGTAATGCACGATATAAATGCTAGGTATGAAAGTTGATTATTTAGGCTGAAGCAAGTATTCCAAAGTACTTGAAATGATCTTTATACATTGACTGTCATACTAGAAAAAAAAATTTTTTCCTTGGAGCCATGGTGTTTTATTACAAAAATAGGATAAAAACTTCAAAAACAAAAAGATCCTTTCTAATTTAATGAAAAATTTGGTATTTTTTATTGTTTTCTGTTCATGAGTTATATGCAATTAAATTGTCAATATTAATTTTAATAATAAGAACATCAATAAGTAAGATCTTCACAAACCAACTGTGGGGTTTTGCCCAGGGGGCCATCCATCACGTAACATGTATGCTATAGCATGGCAGCATGAGTTGTCTGTGCACCACGTGGCTCCCAAAGTTAAGAGACGTGTGAGTTACATAAGCTTCACAAGGCCCCGGGCTCAAAACTAGTGTGAGTTAAATACAACTGACACAGCAGATAATGTGTTAATCACTCTGATTGCAGCATACAACCCTCTTAGGAACTATTAGTACTGAGCCCAGGCTTGCCCTAAGAGGAATGTAAACGGTGCATCCCCTCATTGTCACACGCCGTGGAGTCTCTCCCAGTCTGCCCCTTGCTCTCACAGTGTGTAAACTTCAGTGCTTCTCTATTACTGTGCTATCAGCGTATATACTGAAAGGCTCAGTTAGTGCTTCTCTCTCCTACTAAACCACAAGCTCTTAAAGGGCACAGCTTATCTTGTATGCCCAGGTCCTGGCACATAATAGGCCCTTGTGAAATATTCATTATTGAATCAAATTGCATTCACTTGCTACTTGATCTGATTTTACCAGTCCCTTCTCTATCTCCTCATCTTCCACTCCCCACTCCCCACAATACTGGCCTAATCCTGTCACTTCTCTGCTGAGCTAATATATATATATATATACACACACACTAAGAATATTTTTAGGTGGATAAACAGGTTCCAATAATCTTTTAAAGAAAAAGCCACCTCTCCATGGTAACATCAGTTCAGGGAAAAAAGAGTATTGGCATGAAAAGCACCCAGTACTGCAGAAGCTGAAATAACTAGACCCTGTCTCAATTTCTCAGGACGAATTCAATTGCTAGGTCAATTTTGCCTGATTGATTCTTTTTTAGTATGTCTATGTATTCGAATCAAATAATAAATATATCTTTTAGCATTTCTTAAATACCTAAATTGGTTGTTTCCTCCACAATTTACAATAAAATACATTTCATCCATCAGTCTGCCAACCTGGGATTCAATAAGCTATCTTTTATGCTAAATATCTTTCAGGTTTTCTGTTCCCTCCAATCTTCTTTTCAAAGCGGCATCATCTAGCTCTATACTTCATTAATAACAATCAGAAATAATTCCTATTTCAAGATAAGGTTCAACGTCACAATAATTTTGAAACTATTTATATTTTTTCTGACTAAGGTTAATAAAAAGCCCATTTAATGCACAAGTGCAATTAAACGGCTTTATTAAGTATCTACTATATTTTAGCATTTTTGTTAAGTCATATAAATAAGATATTGGTAAATTTTAAATGTTTCCAACTAATTTTTCCTATTACTAAATTATAAATACAAAAACTTGTAAAATAAAAATGCTTAAATTATTAATATCACTTTAATGATATGCTCATGCTTTTATGACAGTAACAAGATGTTTCATAAATTAATCCTTAAATTTTCTAAAAGGTGTGTCTATGAAGATTAATATAACTAAAAACATGCTTCTCATTCTCATGATAAAACACTCATGAAAATATTGTACATTTGTCATAATTCCACATGCTAGACAGATCTATGCAGCAATATTTACATGTATAAAAATGAACTGCTGAAAACTACAATACTACTTCACAGCTATTAGGATGGCTATTATACTGTCCAAAAAACAGAAAACAACAGTATTGTCAGGAATATAGAGAAATTGGAACTCTTATACACTCCTGATAGGAATGTAAATTGGTACAGTCATCGTGGAAGACAGTATGGCAGATCCTCAAAAAAATTAAACATAGAATTACCTTATGATCCAGCAATTCAACTTCCAAATATACACCCAAAAGAAATAAAAGGACTCAAACAGGTATGTGTACACCCACATTGATAGCAGCATTATTCACCATAGCCAAAAGGTGGAAACAACACAAAAGTCCAACAGATGAATGGTTAAACAAAATAGAGTACAGGCATACTGTAGAATATTATTATTCGGCCTTAAAAAGGAATAGAATTCTGATACATGCTACAACATGTATAGGCTTGGAAACATTATGCTAAATGAGATAAACCAGACACAAAAGGACAAATTTTTATCATCCACAGCTATTTTTTGAGAAGGACAAATATTATATAATTCCCCTTGTATGAGGTAGCTAGAATGGTCAAATTCATAGAGAAAGAGAGTAGAACGGTGGTTGCCAGGAACTGGAAGGATGGGGAAATAAGGAGTTACTGTTTAACAGGCAGTTTCAGTTTGGGAGGATGAAGTTCTAGAGATGGATGGTGGTGATGGTTGCACTGGTTGTACAGTGTGAATGTATTTAATGCCACTAAACTGTATACTTAAAAATGGTTAAAATGGTAAATTTTATGTTATATATATTTTACCATAATAAAGTAAAATAAAAATACACACTTTTAAAGGAAAAAAAATGGCTTCATTTGAAAAAAATCTCTTTTAGAAGACTTCAAATTTTAATGCTCTGAGAATTCCTAAGCAACAGCAGGTGTTGCATCTCCTTCCTACTCCAAGAAATCCAAAGAAAAAATGCACCTAAAAAAGGGGAAGGGATTTTGCTTATATCTCGATTAATTTCACTTTATTATGCTATATATATAACTTTGTTCAGGTAAGATGTAAAAAGAAAAAAAAAGTCAAGCCAAAAGAACTACTATTAATCTGCCTAATAAGCCAATGGATTATATGAATCACAAAATTTTAATTCTATTATTATGAAAGCAGTATAATTCAAGATAGGTTTTATGTTTGTAAGTTTTGGGTTTTAATATGTAAAGAATGTTATATTTAAACTCAGGATTGCAGTATTACTTTAGTTATATTGGCCTTCTTTTAAAAGTTGTAAAAGATGAAAAAAAGTAACAGTTTTTAAATGTATACATGGTTCTTACAGATTGACAAGGTTTGACAGCACAATCCCTTCTTCCACATTGGCTGATATCATTCCAGAAAGGACATGGCCTCTTCAGGTTTACCTGTAAAATAATAATAGAAAAAAGTTATAAAAATAAGAATTTTGAAATTATAATTGACAAATATTAATTATGGTGCTATAACCTAGTCATGTTATCAGCTGCAATTATTCTATTTTGTCCACTTACCTGTTGTCAAGTTCCATTGATTATATAAATGTGTAGCTAGTGCAAGTAAATTGGTAGACTTGGTTAGAAAGGCAGGAATTGCTGCTAAACAGAAGCTAAACAGACAGCAATTAGGAGCCAAAGTAGCTCAGATCATCACTGCTCAACTCATATTCTTTTTAAGCATCAACAAGTTAACAGAGAACAGTTAGACAATTATGAACTAAGACCACAACTAGATACTCTGATGATTAGGTTTTCTAAACTTTTCCAGTAGATATCTCAAGATAAAATACCACAACTGACTTGTTAAAATAATACATGTCAGAATAAAGTCATGCTTCTTCTCAGAATTATTTACTTTACTTTAATTAATTGAACTCAATCTGATGTTTTAGAAAATTATGATCTCACTCTTTCGGTAACATTATAATGGTTTCTTTTCTAACTTCAATTTAACCAACTAGTTTCTAACTCTAGAGTACAAAACTCAGTTATTAAAATTAAGACTATCTAATATGTGGTTTCAGAACCACATGGTTCACTCTTATGAACTGAATTTTTTTAATAAAGCCTATATTGATTTTAAATAAGAGCCACAATTTTGAAGTTTGGAAATTCTTAAGAAAATGTTATTATCCATTTAAACATTACGTATTCTCATACAAAAAGTTAAAATTAAAAATACCTTATAATATCTAAAGTAGTCACTTTCAAGAAGTTTTTGTAGTCTCGGGAAAAGCCTGTAGTTATTAAATCTATCAATGGTTTCAACATCACAGGTACAATCATCCAAGTAACCGCTAACCTGTTACAAAAAAAAAAATGAAATATTAAGTTGAAATGTCCTAGATGCAACAGAGTTCTTTTCCTTCTCATTGTTTTTATGAAATAGCCCGCTATTCAACCAACCCTTATCTTCCCTCTCCCCCATAATTTCCCGAGATGAAGTATGACAATAATTTAATAATACTGTTACTCTTACATGTAGGAATTACCTGCATTACCTAGAATAATGTGGCAGAAACTTTTGTAGCATGTGCCGAGCTCATAATCACACACACACATACACACACACGTGGAGTTGGTTACCCGGCAGCCATTTATTAATATTTTGTAACCCTGTTCTCTAGGCCAAACTGATCCAACCATGGGTGAGCATCTGACTCAAACCAGGTCATGGTGTCCTCTCCAGAAATCTGTAATTGAGACTTAGAGGGAGAGATGTGTCTCCTTATGGCTAGAAAAGTAAACCAGTAAACTCAGACCACATTCTAGCATGTGAACTGAGGAGCACATTAGCCAGTTGGCAGAGAGAAGAAAGATTTTAAAAACTACACAGAGAAGCAGAGATGGGGGGAGGGAGAGACAGAGAGAGAGAGGATATGCTACTTGGATACCTTAGGGGTTTCCAGCTCCTACTTCCCCCCATCTTTCCTGAAGCCCAGTTCCACTCCCATCCTTAGCTTTCCTGAGACTCTATAGTCTTATAATTCAGTTGTCTCTGTCTTTCCTTCAATTTCCCATAGGATGTATAGATCAGAGACAAGCTTGGTGAATACATAAAAAGAAGTGATACTGAATTTATAAAAGAAACAATAGTTCATAAGGATCTAACAATTTTCAATTATTGGGCCATAATAATTTCTTATAGGTTTAGAATGGTGCTCAGAATTACTTACCATTAGCAACACCTAAATAGCACACTGACCTCAAAGCCAATTCTGATTTTCGAATGCTTAAAAATAATACCTTAACTATAGTTACTAAATCAAACCATTAAATGCACCTATACTAGGATACATTGGGAAATCATAATCAACGTTATCAGTTATGAAACTAAAAAAAATGTTGTTTTGAGAGATAGGGTCTCACTTTGTTGCCCAGGCATGAGGGTAGTGGCATGATTATAGCTCACTGCAACTTCAAACTCCTGGGCTCAAGCGATCCTCCTGCTTCAGCCTCCCGAGCAGCTGGGACTACAGGCACATGCCGCCATGCCAGGCTAATTTTTCTATTTTTGTAGAGATGAAGTCTTGCTGTGCTGCTCAGGCTGGTCTTGAACTCCTGACCTCAAGCAATCCTCCCACCTCAGCCTCCCAAAGTCCTAGGATTACATGCGTGAGTCACTGCGACTGGCCGAAACTAAAATTCTTAAATGTTTATTTGAGTTAGGCAAACACCTAATAGAATTAAATATTGTTTTAAGTAGCCAATATTAATATATCATGATTAAAAAAAATTTAGAAATGTTAACAAAATACAGCACAGCATGCTACAGAAAAGAGATCTTTATCATACTCTGGTCTGAATAGTTGCATTGTAAACTACTTTGGATTATATTTTGGGGAGACCTATTACCTACAAAAAATAGTTTAAAAATCTACTGGTAAGGAAGCAAATAAACAATACTTAATTGAAATACTAAATTAAGATGTTTTTCCTTTGGAATATATAAAATTCTATATTACCTTTTAATTTGAGATCATAAAACAGTAATAAAAATTACTCACCTAGATAAGGATACTTTGAATGATAACAGCAATATTCAAGGGGGACTTTTTACTGATTTTCCTAGTCTTATTTGTTTTGGACTAACTAATTCAGTTTCTGATCTACATATTCTGTCATGTAATAACTATTTTCATTTCATATGCAAATTTGTCCTTGTTTCCTACTAAAAACTCTCTGAGCACACAATAATCTTAGAGTCCTAATTTTGGATACCAACAACACAAAAGTGCTTCTAACCTAGATGGTTTGATTTTTCACACCTTCTTTTGAACCTTAAAAGCAGAATTTCCATGGACAAAAAATAGCTACTGTTTCTCCCCTTTGAAACAATCATACAAAGAATAACAGACACAGAGACTGCAAAGGCCAAAGGGACACAAGCAAATTAGAGGCATTAAGTTACGAAAGAAAACAAACACACTGAATAGGAAGAATTCAAAGCAATCCATTTTCCCCCCTGAGGAATTCATTTATTAAGGTAAAAATACATCTTCAAGACTCTGCTCAGCTTCGTCTCTTTGGGGAAGCTGTCCCTCAGGTACTCCTCACCACCTGCTCGGTAAGTGCCTCTCCTATGTGCTCCCAGAACACTACACACACAACTACGTAAGATTTACAGTACCTCACAGTACTGAATGTATCTATTTCACTCCTGCCCACTAAAGTGTAAAACCCTTGGGAGCAAAACCATGTTTGATCATCTTTGTATTCCCAGTACTTAGCACTGTCCTTCCAGAAAGCACACAGTAGATACTCAATAATTATTTGTATTATGGGTGGATGAATGAATAGATGGATGCTGTCCACTGTCACTCTTCACTGGAGACCAGCACCATACTGTCTCATTATACCTTTGTGCTACCACGTCACCTATGGTGTGCCCAGTGCCCCAGAGGACACAGCACACGAAGAAGGAACACACTCACAATAGCAAGTAACGCAAGCAGCAGGCGTGAATAACCCTTTGCATCCGACTGTCTACCTTGCTCTATCATATTACGAAGGAAACTCTAAGAAGCCCCAAACCAGGAAGAAATGCAAACTCCTCCAGAGCAGAGGTGACATATAACCAAATGACCTCAAAGGGAGAGAAGGCTGGACAAATGGTAGATTTAAAAATCTTCTGCCCCTTACCTTAGACATGGATTAGGAGGTATCCTCAACTACAACCTCAGGTAGCAGGGCCACTAAGGAAGTACAATAAAGGTGGCAGGAGTTTCAGAAGATGGAGAAAGCCCAGCAAAGGAAAACAAGAAGATACTTAGAAATCAAAGTTATCTGACAGGTCAGATAAGCCCTCCAACAGGCAGCAGAACCTGATCCTGGGAAGGAAGTCTGGCAGGTATGATGCCAGGCCCCGTTCTAGAAACCAGAGAACAAGACATATTACTGGAATAGAGTCTCAGGAAAGGGTTAAGGTAGAAATACAGTTAAGAGACCCAGGACAGGATCTTGAAATAAAGCAGAATCCTATTACCTAAACTAAGACCAGAAGACAGGTGCCGACCTGTAACAAGGATGACTCAAAGCTATGCTTCAGGATGTGCTAAGGCCACTTAAATAACTACTACACTATCTCCCAAAGTGAAACAGAGCTCTGGCCCCACCACAGGAATCTGAATTTTTTTAAAAATGTACCCTACTCACCCTCCAAAGTGATGGATATATGCTAAAATTTGAAGCTCACTGCTGTAGGCTTGAGGTAATAACCAGCCTTGGATAGCTAGCCGGTCTAATAGGTGGAGATAAAAAGGCCCTGGTTGAGGGATGGTAGATAAGAGGACCAAGGTAGGCCTGACACCCTGACACATCACCCAGCTTAAAGTCCTAGTCTCTTAAAAGTTGGAAAGCCTTTGAAGGCCTTCTATTGCCCCCTCCCAAGCAAAACAGCAACTCCCTCCACGTGTACCACTCAAGGAGGAGGCCCTGTTTAACAATGGTTAGCATGCAGCCTCTGGGGTCAGACCTTCTTAGGTTTGAATCCCATCTACTTACTAGTTTTTGACCTTACCCAAGTTATTTAACCTCTCTAGGCCTCAGTTGCTTCTCATCTCAAAGATTTGATAAAGATAAAATAATACAAAGTAAATACTCAGTAAATGTTAATCATTATTACCCTACTTCTGTTGAAATGCTCCCAGTGAAAGGGATCTTAATACTCCCCAAATCAGCCCACATTTTCATAAGGAATAAGAAAAAAATAGGCCATGGTTACCATTAAAAATTTCCAAAAATTTGACATGTGAAGCCCCAATGGAACAAAGAACTAAATACCCAAAAGTTATAGCTGTGGAAGAGGCCCCAATTACTTTCTAGGCTGACTGTGGCTGATTTGACTAAATGCAAAAAAGCAAGAAAAAAAAATTACACCAGACTGCTTGTTTACCATTCTCTGGCTAGAGGTATCCTTCAATATGCAATGAAAGACAAAACAAAAAACACTTTCTAAATAGTTTTTTTGGGTACCAACAAATTCTAGTCAGGCTGAGTCAGGAGGATCACTTGAGCCCGGGCGTTTGAGGCTGCAGTGAGCTATGATGATGCCACAGTACTCTCCTGGGCACCAGAGTGAGACTATCTCAAAAAAAAAAAAAAAAAAGAAAGAATACATACCTCATACACATTTTGTATGAATACCTTTTAAAAGTGCTCGAAGTGTCAATTAGGAAAGAGAAAGATTTATTTAAAAGGCATCCAAATTGGACATAAAGAAGTAAAATTATCTCTGCAGATGACATGATCCTATATAGATAGAAAACCTGAAAGACTCCCCCCAAAACTGTTAGAATTAATAAACAAATTCAGTAAAGTTGCAGGATACAAAAGCAACGTACAAAAATCAGTTGCACTTCTATACACTAATAACAAACTATCTAAAAAAGGAATTAACAACACAATCCTATTTACAATAGCATCAAAAAGAATAAAATACTTAGGAATAATTTTAACCAATGAGATGAAAGATCTGTACATTGAAAACTACTATAAAACATTGATGAAAGAAATTGAAGACAACACAAATTAATGGAAAGATATCCCATATTCACTGATGGAGAATTAATATTGTTAAAATATCCATACTACCCAAAACAATCTATAGATTCAATGCAACCTCTAGCAAAATTCCAATGGCATTTTTAACAGAAATAGAAGAAAAAAATCCTAAAATTTGTATTAAACTACAAAAGACTCCACATAGCTAAAGCAATCTTGAACAAGAAGAACAAACCTAGGAGCAGCATACTTCCCAATTTCAAATTATATTACAAAACCGCAGTAATCAAAACAGTATGG